TCCTGTTGTGTTCGCTACCTAGTTCTTTTTCGTCGTTTCGTGATACTATTCTATATAGTCGTGACACGCTTACCATTGAAGAGTTATATGAAGCCCTGTTCTCAAAGGAGAGGATGGAGCTGTTGGTTGGAGATCCTACATCTAGGGGTGGTGATGCTCTTGTTACTCATGGTGATCGACGGAGGGATAGATCGAAGGTGAGGTACAACAATGTGTATTGTTATTACTGCAAGAAGAAAGGACACTTCAAGAAAGATTGCGACAGGTTGTAGGGTAAAGGTAATTTACATGCAAATCATTCAAGGCAATCTTGTAATTCGGACAAAACCAAGACGTTGGAGGTAAAATATGATGAAGAGGATCTGGCCTTAATCCTGTTGTGTTCGCTACCTAGTTCTTTTTCGTCGTTTCGTGATACTATTCTGTATAGTCGTGACACGCTTACCATTGAGGAGGTATATGAAGCCCTGTTCTCAAAGGAGAGGATGGAGCTGTTGGTTGGAGATCCTACATCTAGGGGTGGTGATGCTCTTGTTACTCATGGTGATCGACGGAGGGATAGATCGAAGGTGAGGTACAACAATGTGTATTGTTATTACTACAAGAAGAAATGACACTTCAAGAAAGATTGCGACAAGTTGCAGGGTAAAGGTAATTTACATGCAAATCATTCAAGGCAATCTTGTAATTCGGACGAAACCAAGACGTTGGAGGTAAAATATGATGAAGAGGATCTGGCCTTAATCCTATTGTGTTCGCTACCTAGTTCTTTTTCGTCGTTTCGTGATACTATTCTGTATAGTCGTGACACGCTTACCATTGAGGAGGTATATGAAGCCCTGTTCTCAAAGGAGAGGATGGAGCTGTTGGTTGGAGATCCTACATCTAGGGGTGGTGATGCTCTTGTTACTCATGGTGATCGACGAAGGGATAGATCGAAGGTGAGGTACAACAATGTGTATTGTTATTACTGCAAGAAGAAAGGACACATCAAGAAAGATTGCGACAAGTTGCAGGGTAAAGGTAATTTACATGCAAATCATTCAAGGCAATCTTGTAATTCGGACGAAACCAATGTAGTTGAAAATTTTTCTGATGATGGAGATGTGATGTTGGCTATATCTGATGGGGAATCCAAACCTGAGAAGTGAATTCTGGATTCTGTATGTTCGTATTATATGTGTCTTAATAAGGCATTATTCCAGACATATGAGGCGGTGAAGCAAGGTGGAGTTGTCATGGGAAATAACCAATCTTGCCGGGTTGCAGGAATCGATCGAATCAGATTGAGGCTACAAGATGGGACAATGAGGACACTTGATCAGATTCTCCATGTTCCAGACTTGACAAAGAATCTCATATCGCTGAGTACCCTGAATGCAAAAGGGTATAAATTTTCTGGTGGAGGTAGAGTCCTGAAAGTTCAAAAAGGTGTTCGGGTTGTACTGGAGAGACGGATGAGATCCCAGTTGTATATTTTGCAGGGAAGCGTAGAACCAGTTCAGAGACATTTGGACAAGTTTAGTACCGTGGTGGAAATTCAGTTTGGTACATTACCTCTTGTGTTAGGCTTTGGGTTAGTTTCAAACTTTGCTCGTAGGAGTGTTGGTGATTCTGCTTTGCCACCAATTTCACTAGATACACTTTGTTCTTGTGCTAGTGGACTCATGGAGTGTAGGTTTAGTGATGTCAATAATGTCTGTAATGCCTTAGGGATCTTTGAAGGTGACAGTTCTAGCAAGGGGCCTTCTGATCATGCATTTGGTGTGATTTCTGCTACAGGGTGTGCTTCGACCCTGTCTAGTGATTATTAATTTTAGGTGGAATTTTGGGAACCAGGGTTTGGGTTCGGGTGTCACATGTAGACGCCGGGCGGGAAAACGTGTTTTCGTGGAGAGTTTGGTTACTGTGTTGAGGAGCTTGGTTATTTTGATGCAGACAAATTCATTTCCCAAGGTGGAGAAATTTTGGAACTTTGTTCGTTGCACCAGAATTTCGAGTCAAGGTGGAGATTGTTAGATTTGTGACTCTCAATTGGATTGGGAGTCTTTGATTGCGTGTTGGAATTAAAATTGCAAAAGGAATCAAAGTGGCAGACAAAAGGAAAGGGAATAAATTGGTATCCAAATCCGAGTGAAATTAAGGAAAGAAATATCATTGGATTGGAAAGATCAAACTGCATCCAATTGGAACGGAATCATGCTGCCTCTTTTTCTCTTTTTTTTTTCACGTTTAACCTAGAATTTCTACCTTTTTAGGACTCTTTTAGCACTAGACTCGTGTGGTATAAATATGAGTCTCCTCTTTCAATATTGTTGAAGCCAATTGCTGTAATTCTCTCATTTCATAGTGATTGAATAAAATAACATCGTTCCTCTACCAGTTCCCTTTTATTTTGTGATCTTTGTTTATACTTCATATTGGGTTCGTCAAATATCAATTCTTACGTTGTCTTCATCAGTCCCAACAAGTCTCTATTCCTCTATTCACTATGTAATTCCCCCAAAATCTATTTCATTTTTGTTTTTTTTTTTAATTAGACGTGAAGCGCTACCAAAAATCTTTTTTTTTTTAAAACACAAATCTATTTCCTTCCAAAATTTGAAATATGTTTGATAAGTTGATAATAAATCAACATTTTAAGTGAAAAGTTTACACATCAATTGAAATCTTAAAGTACTTCGATATCAAATCATAAATTACCAAATGTTCGGGCACAAGGAAAAAAATATTAAGTAATGTGCATAACAAATAACATAAATATGTTCTTCAAATGAGACTTTTTGTAAATTATTATTTCTAAAAATTTTACATGTCGACCCCATGAGCATCACTTGGTCAATCTGCCACATGTTCACCCGACTCGTTCTAATCTGAAATGTTATTGTAATAGTGAGTATTTTAAAAAAAAATACTCAATAAGAAATACATGCATATTCTTATTAACATGTTATAAATATAAAATGACATGACATACCAACATTTCTTAGATTTAGAGCAGATCGATCGAGACATCCAATAGCTCAAGGAATTTCATAAAATTTTCCGTAGGATTTACAAATTCGATCTAAAGGTCTATCCTGTAAGATTTAACATATTCGATCTAAAGGTCGATCACGTAAGATTTAACATAAAAATCGACCCGAAGGCCTTAGAGTATTTCATGTCAAAATCTATAAAAATATCAAGAAAATAAGAATTTACTACTTGCAAAATTCTTACCTCAAATGATATAAAAAATTATGAAATATGCCTTTGAGACAATAAGTACAAATATGGACAGAATGTTTGTATGAGAATGAGAATCAACTTGTGAAATTTCGATTGTGGCTGGTAGATCAAATAATACTCTTTTTCAACAAGTGTATGTGTTAATGTGTGAAAATCATATGCATGATAAAAGAATATTTTTTTTTGCCTATATTATATATATACACAGCGTCTATTTGGATGCTTACAATTCCAAATCATGTAAAACGTCAAATAAATGTACAAAAATAAAGTTTGAAAATCAATTGATCAATAAATAATTTTTTTTTTAATTTTCAATCAATCACATTAGTTTGGTTGTGGAAATTCAAATATAATAATAATTTATTATTTATTATATAATTTAATGAATGAATATATATCATTTCAAATTCCTTGGAAGTTGTGTATATATATATATATATATATATATATAGGTTTTAGAATATTTTCTTTATATCAAAATAACTTGATTATGATTGGTCCAAAATTATTTCTTCTCGAGCCAATTTATGTTATTCAACACGAGTTGCAAAATGAGTATAATATCGATATGTTTTTTTCTTTTTTTATTAACTTTTAAAATACTTAAATATTCGACCCAAACAACTTGTGATAAAATTCAAAAAATATACGTTAACAAAATAAATCATTTATGCAAATGAGTGAGTCGCATGTATCACTTCAACTTTGGGACTTTAGTGTGATGACTGGGCTCGACATAGACCATTTTATTTGCTTAATTACCAATATTAAATTTAGCCCACATGGAATTAAGATTTAAAAATCGGGATGTTACACTACTTCCTTTTGGCTATCGGTTTGGGGATGATAGGTTAAACTAAACTTCAGTTCCCTGCAAACAAAACATTTCGTTCCAAAATTTGCTCATACGGATGGCATCGTGAATGGGTATTCCATATTTACTTATGCGATCGACCAACTTACTATCGTGGCCTTCCTATAATGCTAACAAAACAAATGGATAATCTTTGGGTAAGGTGATCCCGTCTTTATACAGTAAAGCCCGCTAACTATAACATAACCCTGGCAAGAAGAAGGAGCAACCCTTATAGCAGATATAATTTAGCTCAGTTTAGTGTCTTCTTCTACTGCCTTTGTCATCTGCTCCAACTGTATGTACTGGATCCTCTTTTGTGATAGTGCATCTGCTGCTTTATCCTCGAGCCTTGGTTTGTATTCAATGTCTAAATCGAATCCCAACAACTTCATTAGGCATTGTTGATATTCAACATTTGCCAAGTGCTACTCGACGAAAAACTTAAGGCTCTTTTGGTCTGTCCTAACAACAAAATGCCTCCTCGACAAATAATGCCTCAACTTTTGTACTGCTAGTATGATAACCATGAGCTCTCTTCATATATCGACTTTTTGTAACTTTTCGATGGAAGAACCTGACTGAAATAGGCAATTGGCCTCTGATTTTGCATTAAGACTAGAGGTCGGCAAAACCCGATCGATCCCGCCAAAATCGATCGAACCGACCCAACTCAACCTCGAGTTGGGTCAGTTTTTTAAGATTTTTTAAGTGGGTTCGGTTTATGGGTTGCGTAGGCGGTTCGGGTTGGGTCGGATTATGGATTAAACTATTAAAACCGATATAAACCACCCAACCTGACCCGTCTTATTAAAAAGAAAGAAAGAAAATGAAGGCAAACACGCACAATTCACAAGTTGCACACCTAAAACCTAATCTTTTTTTTTTTTTCTTTTTCTTCAACAAGGCTGGAGCTTATGAATCAACTGAAGAAATCAATGAGGCGATTGAACCCATGGAAAGACCTCCTGTGTGAAAAAACTCATTGAATTTGGGGCAAATGTATGTTTTTTACCATTCCCTTATCTTCTCTATTGAGGCATTTTCAAGTAATATGTCTTTACATATTTGTTGGTGTTCGTAATTTATGGGGCTAATCTTGAATATTGGGCCAGATTTTAGTGTTTAATTCACTAAATGAAGACGAAAGGCACATGCATGTTATTTCACTCTCTTATAATTTTATCAGTTATTTCATTTGATAATTTATTCATATAGATAGGCTCATGAAAAAGCTCAAGACTGGGATACTTGCAAATAATTTAGAGGAGATTGTTTATATTTTTGAATAATTCAGAGAAGACTATGTCATTTAAGTTTCCTGTATATGAAAGGCTCATTATTCACAAATACATATCAAATCTGGGTCAAAACCATTCACTTAAGATTACATATACGAAATATGATCTTTCATTTTATTTAATTTAATCTCCAATATGTAAAAATTAACTACTGAATGTCTGGACAAATGTGTTATGCCTTGGGTCTGAGAGGTGTTGCAACAGGTTCTCAAATGGTCCTTTCCTAGTCACATCGTGCTGAACTACAAATCCTAAGGATGCACAGGCATGTTATTGTAGTCTCTTCTAATTTTATCGAGATATGGCAATGAAGAAGCTGGCTGGGATGCAAATGCAACCTCTGAGGTCTATCAGGTATTAATTAACTGCCTTATTGCTTTAGATTTTCATTTTAAATTTTAGCTTGTACTCTTTGTATAAGATTTTAGATTTCATTCTAATTCAACTTTGCAGTTTTGTGGAGTAATTTCTAGTTTGCTGACTATTTTCCACTAGGTTTTTTTGTGCAAAGTCAAAATCGACCAACCCAACCCAATCTGACCGTAACTTGATTAGGTTGGGTTGGATTGGTTTGAAAGACATAAATGGGTTGGGTTGATTTTCAATCCAAACCAATCGTGTTGGGTTGGGTTGGGTTTGAGTCAAAAATCAACCCAACCCAATCCATGCCCACCCCTAATTAAGATAGCCCTTATCCCATGCCCAGAAGCATCAGTCTCAATTGTGAAGACTTGTAAAAAATTCTGGAAGAGCCAATACAGACATTGTCGTCATTGCTTCTTTCAATTTTGTGAAGGTGGACTCCGTTGCGTCATTCCACCCGAAGCTATCTTACTCTAGTAGTTGAGTTCACGGCCAAGCTATCTTTCCATAGGATCCCACAAATCGTCGATAATATCTAGTCAACACCCACCCTGCAGTTCTTTAAGTGTCTGAGGACGTGGCCAGTCTTTCATAGTAGATAACCTGTATTTGTCTGTCACCACTCCATTGTCTAATATGATGTGCCCAAGATACTCTATCCCCGTTTGCCCAAATGAACATTTCTTCTTGTTTGCAAAGAGCTGGTTTTCTACTAGAATTCAGCTCCACCAGATTGATAGACTCTGCCTCTGAATTCAGCTGGAATCCACCTGGAGTCAAGATGAGAATAGCACAGAGACAGAAATAAAATTCTGTATTGATTTGGAAATGGAATTACAAAACACGAAAGGATTTACAAGCAGCAGTTAGAGAGGACTATGACTCTCCACGCACTGATTTCACTCACTAAAATTAACATATCTTTCTTCTCTCAATCTTTTTCTATTTATAGACTCATGTAATAGATTTTGGCTACCTCACCACACCTGTCTAACAGAATTTGTTACCCTCTCCTTTCTCCATTCTGATTGTTTCTTCTAGAATATGTGTATTTAATTGGGGACTTATCAGTTGTCTTATTTTCTGAATGAATTGTTGAGAACTTAATGTGTCATGTTAGGTTTTATGTAATTGGTGATTTTGTGAACAAAAAAGACTAAATTGAACACGTGTAAAGTCAAGGAGTTAGGTACAATTTTGTATAGACAAGTCAGGCAAGTTAGGATTCGAGTCCGAAATAAGAAAAGAAGAGACGTCACATTTTCGCTAGCTACTGGCCAAAACATTGTTCGAGCGACAAAAACAGAATGATTGTCGCTAGCCTGTCACTCGGACTTTGCTCAATTTAAAGTCTGTCGCTCATTTTTTGCTGGAGTGACCGTGTTATGTGACCAACCCTAATTTGCAATTTTGAAAAGTTTTACATGGACTATAATACCTAAAAATCTGTAAATATAAATATCCAAGCTTTGTACTTTTTTATGGTGGTTGTTCATTATGCCTCATATACATATCATATTCATATCAATCTTTTGGTGATCCAAGACTCACTCATAGCTTGATTCAATCCTTTGATTCTTGAGATCTTGCAACCACATATTTGGGAAAACATCAAATACTTGAATCCAAAACACCTAACTTCTTAACACTGTAAGGAAGAGACTTTTTTAGTTGGGCATTGGGAGAGGTGGACTGCAAGCACGGGAAAGCATAAGAATTGACTATTCTTGAAATTCCGCTTGGAAGAGACAATTGGAGATAATCGGGAAGCCAGTGGAGTCAGCAAATCTGGGAGATTACACAAGGTTGATCGAAAAGTTTAGTGGAGTTAGCTAGATAGTATCTAACTGTAACGCTTATTGTCTATAGTGGAGGTAACTAACTTGGTTCCCGAGTTTTTATCTATTTGGGTTTCTCCATCAACAATATTGGTGTTATTTATTGCTTTCATAGTACAAACTACAGTAATTCAACAAAGAAAATTTTGACTTGCATGCGTAACCATCTAAAAATAATTAATAAGTGACTTGTCGCTTGTAATTGTATATTCCGCATGTAAGGACAAACTAAATCAGACAAGTAAAAGAACTTTCAATAATCCTTATGAGTAGTAGGTGTAGTTATATACTGGTTTGAAGTTTGAAGTGCTGCGAGTGTTTATGGATAGGCTTCCGGTTCTTGGTAGTGCTTGTAACATTGAACTATTGCAAACCTGTTTCATGGTGAAATAGTGCAATGGGGACATATCTGTCATTTATGAGGAGAGCGTTGAGAATTAGAAACTCTAATTCAATACCACTGAGAGTAATAATATCACAGAAAGAAAATATCACAGAAAGAAAATAGACATACAAAAATGAGCAAAATTTATAGAAGTTTGTATTAATGTGGGACTACATTATCTTTCGTAACTACGATAAAAAGAAGTTTACAAGAAAAACTCACACTTTAGGTAGATTCGCGTACGTTATCTACACAATGACAATAATTAGGTTCCACAATTTAGCAAAGAGTTCCAAAGAGAGACGTAAGCAGTGGCCAGCTGAATTCCCTGCCCTTAATTAGTGGCAAAAGAATTCTGGTGTTCTTTTGATTTCTTGCACGTGATTTTATTTTCTGCTGCGCGATTCTTGTTATCTGATACCTAACACTATGAAGGAACTCCTGATGATGAGGCTTGGGTAGTGGATCTTCGTTGAGGCTACACATGTGAAGGTGCTAAATTCTACTCTGTGAGAATTATTATTGATAAATGAGTTGTAGGTGGTACTCACTTTGTTCTGTAGTATCTGTACCAATTGTATTGTTTCTTCGTTTGTAATAGTGTTATCATTTATGATAGTGGACAAAAGCTCTAAATCAATCCAACATTCCCTTGAGATTTTATGCAATGCGAAGCAAGAAACATTCAATGCACGTCTAAAGATCAGTTAATCAAGCGAATACGGGATATATGTGGAGTAAAAAAAATACCATAATTCGACAATAAAATTAGAAAACTCTCAAATTTTATATAAGCAAAACGACCAAATAAAATGATTACTCGTAAAGTCTTTAAGTACTAACTAAAGGATGATTATATTCGCACCCCATCTTTTTATAACTACACCATATTCTAATTAAAATAAAGATCCTCAGTATTTATTCACCTCACAATTACATTCTTGATTTTTTATATTGTTAACTTTAATCTTTCATTAACTAGCAAATCATGTTATTAATTATGGTTTCCATTTAAAAATATTGTTAGCGTGTTTTAAAACGAATAACGAATATTAAATCGTAATTTTGTATTTATTTTTTGTTTGCTTATTTAAAAATACTATGAAAAAATAAGTCTTTCCACCATTTTCTAATGAAAGTTTTGGACCAAAATCGCAATAAAAAATAAATTATGTTAATTTGAGAATAAGAATATTATAAAAAAAGGTTGGCAACATAAATTTTATAATGACTATAGGTTATCGGTGACTGAGACAAACATTTTTCACTATGAGGTCAAAAATTAAAGAGTAATGCTAATTATAAATAATGGTGTACAAATCAATAATATAGATAGTATTAACTGATTTCCTTTCATTTTATTCTCTCTCTCTCTCTCTCCCCTTTTTTCTCTCTTCTAAATCATCAATTTGTAAACCAATATGTAAACATTTATGTACAAATAACATTATTCAAAATTAAATTACAAAATAATTTTTCTGAACATATTTTTCTCTTTAACACTAGTTTCACCAATATTTTATTCTTCACTCAAAAATGAAGGTTTTCCTTTAAAATATTTTTCATAATTATTTAACGTGAAATCTAACAAATAAATGAATGTCCTTAAAAGTAAAAATACAATCAATTTTAATAGGCGAGTGGCAGATGCTCAATATTCCATTAAATCACAATAGATAACAACCAATTCTATAAAAACAAAAATACCAACAATGAATTTTAATATTCCATAAAATCCTAGACATGTAGTTAGGGTTATCTTAAAAGTGAAATCAAAGGTGAAACTTGACATTGGCACAAATGTCTTCAACAAAAATACAATTTACCAAAAAGTGCATATTTACATTTGAATTCATTGTTAATTGATGAACATGTTCAAAACATACATTTAGCGGCCCTGTTTGGTTTAACTAAAAATCATATTTTTAGTAAATTTAGATAAAAAAAAAAAAATTGAAATGTATAGTTGAAAAGATCATAAAAATTGTGGGCCACATGAAATGTGTGATTAAAAATGAGTTTGCGAAAAAAAAAGTTTCAAAATATGGGAGCCAAACATGAACTTAGATAGAGAAGACCTAAAAATGCACGTTTTGAACCACTAATAAGAAATAAAATAGGAAAACAATAAATTGAGAAAAATAAAAGATTGGTTTTGGTTAGAAAGATATTTCGGTTACATCATTAATCTCTTTCAACTGAAGAAGATTTGTCCAATATTTTAAGTTCAACCTTTTTATTGGAAAAATCATTGGACCATCCAATTCACTTTGATATGACAAAACGAGTATTCAAAAAGAATAGTGAACCCACAATTATTATATATTCTCCTGATGAGGCAAAGTCTACAATGGGGAAAAATAATTAATTTTACCAACCAAATCACCCGTTTGTGGTGTCTTCCTTACCACACCATTGGTTTAAATGTAGTATTGATTGTAATTTTCATAATGTTTTCGTTGGTCATTAGAGTTTAAATTTTTTAACTAGTCATTCAACTGATCAAAAATTATCTTATTCATCACTCAATCAATTACCATAAAAAATTAAACAAAATAGATAACCTGGCAAACGAAAATTCTCACATGGTATTCATTCAATATTAGTTTAAACCATGTCACCAATATTCAGTTGCTAGTTGGTAAGCAAGGCTTGCTCATTGATCAAGGTTAGCTTTCGTATCAAGTAACAACTAATAGGCTCACTAACATGCAAACTAATGATGAATCATGGTAAAATAATATCACAAATTCACAAAGGATCATTTTTCAGAAAGCGACTGACTGAGCATTCTATATTCTTACTCTCTTTACGAAGTTGTAGAACACTAACATATAATGATGAATCTAGTAACTCAACACGAGTATTCATTAGAACTTGGTCACAATTTTTTCCGTCATGTCGATCCAGCATCCAGCTAGCGTCTAGCATTGGATGTCACGCTCAGAGTCCACAAGTGTTACTCAGATGCATAACGTCAGTTTTTTCTTTGTCTTCAATCAAACCATTCTTGCTAGAATTTTAATGACATCGTCTATTGATGGCCTATGCAAAGGGTCTTCTTCAACACATGAACTAGCCAGTACTGCTAAACATAAGGCCTCTGCCACAGGATAATCTTCCTTTAGACATGGATCCAAAAAGTTTCTCAACTGCTCAAAACAGCCTCCTTCGTTTGCTCCACCTCCAAAAAACGTAACTGATTCTTCAAATAATTTCCCATCTGCAGCCTCTTTCCCTGATATAAGCTCAAGCAAAACCACTCCATATGCAAAAATGTCTACCTTTTCGGTCGCCGAGCCATAAAGAACATATTCTGGAGCAACCCACCCTCCAGGACTTGTTAAACTTCCAGATTCTTTTGAGGACTCATCAGCAGGAATTGCTTTGAATACTGTGAGTTTTGCCCTCCAATTTGAGGTCAAAAATATACCCTTGCTATTTATGCTCATATGAAAATAAAGAAGGTACAACACAATAATGCAAGTAATGAAGGCCAGTTGCAATGTCAAAAGCAATTTGAGTCCTCCTGTGCCATGAAAGAGAAGTAGACGAGCTCGATAAACAGTCCCTTAAGCTTCCATTAACGGGAAATTCAAACACCAAATAAGACCAAGAAAAATCATCCTCTCCATAACAAACTCCATGTAACTTCACAATGTTGACATGATTGATCTTTGAATGTACATCAATAACTTGACGGGTACCCTCAAATTTCATTCGTTTGATCATCACTTCACCATTATCAATCAACCCCTTGTAAACACTTGGGCTAATACTAGTCTCGTCATTTAAATTTTTTGTTGCTTGTTTGATCTCTTCCACACGGTAATTGCACAAAGAATATTTTATCCCAACAAGCAGATCAGGAGACAAACATGAATTCGTGGAGCCTCCAGTTGGAGGTCCAGATAACGGGGAGCTTCTTGGGGTTGAGCACGAATTCAACGAGCTTCGATGCATAGAAGTACGGAACTTATCAGATTTGAATTTATACAAGGCCTCGACGTATAGACCACATGAAACTAATGTAGCAAGAATGAGGAAAAACCCAACAACTGATACTGCAATACAGAGTCTCTTTAGCTGTATGATTTTTGCTCGTTTGTCGACAGGAATTGTGGGAAGAAAACCCGGAATGGGAGGTTCAGAATTTGGAATGTTGAGATTGACGAATGGTTTTGCTTTCAGCGGTACTAAAACAGTTGTGTTGGGGTAAACAGTAGTTGTAGGATCTAAATTATTGGCTTTCCATATTTCTTCAACTGAAATATTGAACTTCAGACTCAATTTTTTTGTATCATCCCCTTCAATAAAAGGGTATGTGACAAAGTACCTAACCCCTGAATTTCTAGAGATTTTATCAGGACAAGCACACTTCAAAGGTACATGAACAGTCGAACCAGCACTAAGACTGTTTAATCCTGGAAAATCTTCTTCTTTCAGTGTAATTGATTTTACTAAACCTTCAAATATTGTACAAGAAATTTCTGACACCGTCATTGTTTCAGGTAAGGTGTAGTTTATACCTACCTCGAAGAACAGATCTGTACAGGAACAAGTGATTGGAATGAGGACTTCTCGACCTGCTTCAAGAATCCGAGATGAATTTGAGACATTGTTAACGATAAGTAAATTATCTGGATCCATTTTGAACAGACTGGAAAGACTTGATATGGTTTGAAACTTCTGGTTAGCCCGGTAAACCAAAAATGTGTGGCACGAACCTTGAAACGAATTGCAGGTGTACCTTGTACCTGGATATTCTGTGTCTGAAGAACATAATGTTGCATCATAGAATTGTTGGCTGTAGCACATATCAAAGAATAGACATAGCAGAAACCATAGAAAAACCATGACTAAGAAAAGTTGTTATACATTTTATACCGAAAAATGTAAATTTTGAACCTGGATAAGTGTTTCAAGATGAAATATGATGATGCACGGAAGAAATGCAAGAATCCAGTGGTTAAGATCAAACAATTATGGTATTTCCTATGTACATAAATCTGTTTAGATTATTTTTTTAGAGCTCCCTTTTTTTTTAAACCAACTGATCTAGAGCACATTTAGCCCCCGTTTGGTCCTCATTTTGTGGAAATGGAAATGAAAATGAGTGGAATAATATCTTTTTTAAAAGAAATGAGTGGCTGAAAAAGAATGAAAAGTTTTCGATTTATGAGTAATATTATTTTATGGAAGATTGTGTGGTTGAAAATAGGAAAGAGAAAGAGAAAAATAAAATAAAATAAAATGGAATGGAAATTAATGTGGGCCAAACGGGGCTTAGAGCATATTTGGTTAAGATTTAAAAATTGAGAGTTATTTTTAATTAACTTTTTATCTTCAAATATGTATACATTAGGTTTTATAAAAAAATTATTTGTTTTGAAGGTAACTTACTTTAGAAGAAAGGGTAATTATATTACCACCACAAAATTTATTTCCTACACTACATTATAATCACACCACAATTAAAATATATTTTCAATAAATACACGACAACAAATTTACAATTATACTCATAATCCAATAAAAACTAAAAAAGAAAAAATAAAAATAAAATTGTGGTGTATTTATCATCCCAATGTTACTCATCATTTTTTTCATCCTTTAAACATTTTCACTAATTCTAAAACAAGAATTTGTAGTATCTTTGCATCACGGA